AATTGCAAGGAACGACGAGACACAGGCCGCTGACAACGTCACGGGCGATCCAGGGGTTTCAGTTGCACCACCAATACCGACACAGGACGTTGATGTGGATGCGCAACCTGAAGAAGAACAGGGTGCTGAAGAGCCCGATCCCAGGCAGAGGGTTCGTGAGGTGCTCGTCACACAGCTTCAGGACTATGTGGGAATACTTGCTCAGGGCGAGATGTCGGTCGGGAGCAATAACTTCACGTTCTGCATTGCTTGTGGCAGTGAATCACATCATCTGTCCGATTGCACTGAAAATGCTGCAACCCGAGATCTGATACTTCGAAGCATTCAGATCATCAGGGACAGTCTTCTTCGTTATCCACGTCGACCACCTACACAACAAGCTGAGCCAATGGACGTTGATACCACAGACCATGTGAGTGTTGCTTCCTCGGACCGACGACCCAAGGCCAAAGCCCGACCGCGACGCGGAGGCGAAGCCGTTCGGGGTGATGTGGTCTTGATTCGTTACGAGAACAAGCACAACCTATGCACGGAAGTGGAGAACCGTCGAGGCTTACATGACGCTTGTGGTGTGCCGCTGCGGGACATGGGACCCGAGAACAGTCAGCGGGTGGTGGATCTCATTGAGCAGCTTTCGGACCATCGTGACCGACGACTGCCTCAACGAGGAGATCGTCCAAGCTTCGAGTATGATGAGAATACTCAACAATGGGCAAATTCAGGCTACGAATCCATCGGCGGCGGAAGGCCAATCCGATGCGGAATTCTTGACCTGATCCCAACCAAGGGTGCAAGCTTCATCAACAATCGATGGGACATCGTGAATGAAGTTGTCCTTCGCAACATCAACCCATCATCGAAGAAGGAACGCAGAATGGGCGCTATCCTGCATTCAATCTGACTTACGCCACAGAATTGCCAGGCGCCCAGGTTCGGAATGGCTTGACAACCGGTGCCAAGTGGCATTCAGCAGCGTTATTCGATGTGATGAAGGAGGGTGGGTGCTGATAGAGGACTTGGTGAGGCATGAGCAACTATGGACCCACGAAAGTAGACGCATTACCGAAGCGGTATCAAGGACCGACGAGTACCAAAGGAAGAGAGTGTACAATGAGAGACTGCAGTTACTGTTCCAGGGGAATATGCTTGCAGCCACGAAACGCCACAAGGCCAAGATCCGGCTACAGTTCTTGGGTGTGAGAGTGAAGAACCCCGGCACAGAGACTCTTGGATCTGCGAACTCGAACATGTTGGTGTCAGTTCCAGATCAGATCACAGAGATCCAGAACAACGACCGTTGCCGACACAATCAGAGGTACCTGAATGTTTGCAACGGCTGGGTGAAACCATGGGCTGTCCGGGCCACAAGTGGTCACTCTACGCACTCCGATCCCCAGAACAATTTGCTTCAGTTGGACAAGGACCGGTTCGCAATATCTCCATCTATGACCCTCTTGACACGTCTCGGGGGCGCGTTCCACGCTACGGCATGCCGCAACTTGGATTCTATCGTTCTGCAGGGCGTCATGCCTGGTTCGGAGGATCCTGACGGGGACTTCGACCAGCGACGTCGATTTCAGGACAACCGAGGTGGCAGACTCCACAGTTACTGGGGGGTGTTCGCACCGTTCGATGACCGGAACGCGACGACCAAAGCTCGGGTACACGGGCCGCAAGCCAAGCACATGCCAATTGTGGTCCTCCATGTCGCTTCGACAGATCTTGCCCGAGAAGGTGGACGTATCACTGACAGCGGTGTCATCATCGTTGGTCGAACGGTATCGTTCCAGTTCGTGAAGGAGGTATGGTTTTGCGTCCCGAATCCTCAGGATACACATTCTTTCGCTCTGGTGGAAAAGATCTATGATGAGCGATTGGAGAAAGAGATGGTGTTGGACTACAATGGATCCCCATTGCTTCCTGAATTCGAGAGATATCGAACGCCAAGCAAGATCATGGAATTGCTTTGCGAGATGCCTCCTGGACCCCATGACACAAGCAAGGAGCAGATAATGCGAGACCTTACCACTGTTTTGGAGTCCCACAGGGGGAACACGGTTCGGCATCACTACATGGACAAGGGCATCAAGTTTGTCATCAAGAACTGGCGACCCGAAGATCTACGAAGAGATGAGGATGGCAGGAGAATGAGGGTATGCCCAGCGTGCTACAACATTGTTCCAGCATGCTTTTCTCGATGCACATCCTGCTGGTCACAATTCGTTTCTTGCGGATACTACCAAGGTACTCCACAACGGGATACTCCTACGGAGATCCCAAGTGACTTCATTGCTCAGACGATGGAAGCTGCGGCAGCAGCAGTACCTGAGGCAACCGTCGAGGAACAGGAAGCCATGGAAGCGGAATCGGTTGCGGAACCTGAAGGAATTCCAGAACCATCCGTCGTTGGTGATGACGATCCAGAACAGGAACCTGATGAAGAAATGGACACGGAACCAGGAGAGGACTTTGATGACCAAGTACCAGATGCGGTGGCACAGGAACGACGTCCCGTCCTCATTGCCGGTCAGTCTTTGAACATCGACCCTGAACTGCAGATCGCCCGCACCGCCATGCAGCCGCCCTACTACCACGGAAAACGGAACGCCCATTGCATCGACGCCAACATGGCTGCTCTTTCGTACATGGCATTCGTTGTATGCAGAACCATCTACAAAGCTTGGTCAGGATTCGCGAAATGGGCGACTATGCCGTTGTTTCAGATGAGAGAGAATTTCGCGCATGGCCAACGCTATGATGTGCTCGGAAAGTGGGGGACTTTGGCTGGAGTGGACAAAGAAACAGGTGTGAGCAGGGACGTGACTGATGAGGAGATCCTTCGCTTTGCTAAGGAGCCTGAAAACCTCAAGTCGTATGATCCCAACGGGACTTACACTTTGAAGCGCTTCCGGACGAATCAGATGCTTTCGCTATTGACACGGGGAGCCAACATGATGGGAATCGGCAGAGATAACTTCAATCCAACCACGTACTTGAAGAGTAACAAGGATGAAGACGTGAAGGCGATGCACTTTTGTTGCCTAAACGTCCTATGTGAAGTTATCCCGATGGTGACAGGACATCAACAATTTTCGGTACTACGAAACACGCCAACTGGACCAGTGGACTTTCTGTACATCGACCCGGTCGGCATCCTCTTGACTCATGCAGATTATTCCGTCCAGACCGTTGGACTGCTGGTGGACCACAACGTGCAAATGCCAGCGCACTTCATGGACAGATTGGTCAAGTCTAGAGTTGAAAGACAGCAAAATCCGAATACTCGACGTCCTGAAGCATTACATCACATTTCGGCCGAAGAGTATCTCCCTCCGGGTGGTACTTCCATCATGGACACGCCCGTCACTACGGAGGAACGTGCAAGCGCTTCTTCGGCAAAGGGACCTTCAAAAGGGCGTGAGAGAACCGGAGATGATCAACATGGAGGCTGGAACGCCAACTCTTACCATGACTACATCGCCGGCAAAGGCCGAAACAAAGGCAAGGACAAAGGAAAGCAGAGGAACCAGTATCCAGAGGAGAACCTCCGGCCCCGGGGAACGCGATCTTACGTCAACGCGAAGATGGCGGTGAGACAACACCTGATTTACTTCATCTTCAAGATTGTGACCTCTGTGCTTCGCACGTGGAATTCCATCGCGAATGCTTCTTTCTTCGGTGACGCCTGATTCGTTTGCCATTTCAGGGGATCGTTACCGACGTAGATGAGTGTCACAACGTTTCTAATTGGGATGCAAAAGCTCTGATTCATACGTCAAAGTTGCGGCGGAACAATTTTCTGCTATTCCTATCGTGCCATCTTCCGGGTGAGCAGCGTCGGAGACGCAACTCATGGGGGGTGCGAACGGACTGCGATGCCTTGTCAAGTTCTAAGGTGTCACTATAAGAGCTGTGAGCAAGACCGTGTAAAGTGCAAGGGAAGGGGGCACGCCACGCGTCCCTCGTCTCTAGGAGTAGGCTTGTGGTAGTGCTACGCACACCGCAATGCCTATCCATCCTTTCAGTATGACCGCCCATGCAACGTTTGGCTCAAGAATGAGCACAAGCTCTAGAAAGCATTGCCTATAGCTAAAGTGCTATTGTCTTCTGTGATTCTCCGAGTGGACAGAGCTATCCCGTGCACAGACGATCCACCGCCGGCCGTGAGTGTGCAAAACGAGCGAACGTTGGATCTGCCTGCATAGGAGTGCGTGTGTGGAAGTGGAAGTAACGGTGATCCAGTCTGTAGAAGGCAACCACGCCAACAGTCAATACAGCTCTTTGTGGGGTGAGCAACAGAGAACATTACCAGGATCAAATCCCCACGCAGTGGAAGTAGTAGCAGTAGTAGCAGTAGCAGTAGCAGTAGCAGTAGCAGTAGCAGTAGCAGTAGCAGTAGCAGTAGCAGTAGCAGTAGCAGTCGCAGTCGCAGTCGCAGTAGCAGTAGCAGTAGCAGTAGCAGTAGCAGCAGCAGCAGCAGCAGTAGCAGTAGCAGTAGCAGCACCAGTAGTAGTAGTCGTAGTAGTAGTAGTAGTAGAAGAAGTAGTAGTAGCAGTAGTAGCAATAGCAGAAGCAGAAGCAAAGCAGCAGCAGCAGCAGCAGCAGCAGCAGTAGTAGTAGTAGTAGCAGCAGCAGTAGCGGTAGCAGGAGCAGAAGTAAAGTAGCAGCAGTAGTATAGTAGCAGTAGTAGTAGTAGTAGTAGTAGTAGTAGTAGTAGTAGTAGTAGTAGTAGTAGTAGTAGTGGTAGTAGTAGTAGTAGTAGTAGTAGCAGTAGTAGTAGTAGTAGTAGTACTCGTAGCTCGTCGTGGTGGTGGTGGTGGTGGTGTTAGCTCCTCCCCTTTTCAGTAAGTTTCGAGACTGACGATAGCAAAGGTACAGAAGGGTATGCGGAGAAACAGCTGCTAGACCAAAGACCGGGCAAACCTGTATCTTCGCCTTGTGGTAGAGTCTGCAAGAATGCAGGCCAGATGCAATTCTTCGCATCCTTGGGACATCCGGTGATGGCAATGTCGCTGCGTGGGTGTGGCTTGAGCGACAAGCCACTCGAGGCGGAGATGTATGATCTGGAGACGTGTCTTGTTGCTGACATGCGTGCTGGGCTGGACTATGCGCCTGAACTTGCATGAAGCCGCCTGCATCTGCATGCCATAGCTTGCAGAGTCAAACCATTGACCTTGCAGCTTAGGTCAGGCAAACGTGCGGCCAGCAGCCACTGCTGGTTGCCCACGGCGTGGGTGCGCTGATTGGTTGGCGACTGTTGACCCTCACAGCAGATGCTCCCGAAGTGGCTGGATTCGTATCCCTCTCGATGCCCCCGCTGGAGGCCTGCGCACGAGGATTACGTAGCCTGTCGCAGCTGTACAGCTGGCTCTACATCCTAGCCTTCAGTATGCCAAAGCTGCCAGAAGCCCTGCTCACCTTTCAGAGCCTCGCCTACTAAAAAGGCACTTGAAGTGCAAGGCCTGTATCCCTTTTGCCTTTTGCGCTCCAAGGAATGCCTTCCTTGGAGCGGTGCTGCTGAATGACTTAGAGCACCCTGGCCTGGACGCAGGGGCTTACAAGACAGGCAGCATGCAGACTTGCAGCGAATGCCTCCAGGAGTTGACGCTGAGCTGAGGCGAGCACAGGTGAGACCTGAGCTCCTGCACCTTTCCCGCGCAAATCTTCTGCAGCCTCGCGCTGCAAGAGGACATCTGAACTACTACAGAATGTACCTTGCCCGATGCACATGCAGCTGTCATTCGCCATCAGCAAACCAAGCCGCACTCTTTTCCTCTTGACAGGTTGGTGCGGAAGATGATGGACTCGGTTCTACATGGCAGAGACACGTATTGGAGCGAGGTCTTGCGTGGACAGTCCGAGCACAAGGAGGCGCCCGCGGCAATAGCTCCCCAAAAAAGCAGTTCGCGATTTTGTATTGCCCTGGAGGTCTTGGGCTCCCATCACAAGCTCAAATTGCCGGTGCTCATCCTGAAAGGATCTCATGACCACATCTGCAAAGAGGGTCTTTTCGCCGATCTATCCGACTATTTACACAACTACCGTTTCGTCGTTATAGAGCCGTGTTCTCACCGAGTGCATTTAGATGCAATGGCGGAGGTGAACACCGAGATCAGCCAATGGCTGCAGTGTCTTTGAGGTGCGATCCCCTGGTGATTGTCACTGGCGTGGAGCGACACGGTGACATGCCTCCAGTGTAGATCGACTCGAGTGCGTTTGCGTATTGCCAACGAGCGTTGTCGCAAACGCGATCATCATTTCCAGTCTGCTGCGAATCGTGTCGGTTGTACAAGAATCTGTTGCCGAATCAGTGGGGTCAGAGTCAGAGGGATGCAGTTGTTGACCACGACAAAGTCGTCAGTTGCTGACTGCTGGCAGCTCGGATGCTCATGCAGAAAGCGAGATAATACGTGTAGTAACGGTGTAGTCTTTTCTCGCGCAGTGACGAGTGAGAAATTTGCTGCACGCAGCTTACTTGCTGAGATGCTCGAGCGTGCCAGGTTTAGTGCAGCACAAGTCTGCCATGTCTCTTTCACAGTTTCATTCCAGATTGAGACATCGACGGACATCGACGGACAAGGATCTGTGGCAGGCTGCCGCGACATGCCCAACATCCAAGGGCACAATGTTGTGATTTGAACTTCGACCCTGATGCGCGTTCCGCCCTACTGTGCAATGTCCTGAGGCTTCCAGGGGCGTGGCAAGAGGTCCGGCTTCTAGAGCAGGCTCGAATGCACCGAACGCACTTACCACCTACTGTCAATCCCTGCGAAGGACCGCAGCGCCACGCGTCCTGGCACTACGTACACTGGTGCTGCACGTCTTGGCACCGCGTGCCTTGTCAATTCATCCAGACTTTTTGCACATCCTTTGTACACTTTGTGGACCATGGCTTGCCTAAGACCATCCGACCTCACCTATTGCGGTTCTTCCGTCAGCCTAGCTTTCCATCGGAGCAGCATCGGTGCGGCAGATCGCCATTTCTGCATGCTTGATCATGCTTGCAGGGTACCTGGCCCCATGACGGTCATCGGCTCCCGCGAAGCGCCTTGCCAGAGAAAGTGTGTTGGCATATGCTGAAGCTGAAGTTGACACGACATTGCCTGGTCTTGCAAACTACCCAGGTAGCTGCGACTCCCCAGACACAGGTCCCAACTCAGGAGTGCTCGAGAGCCACGTGTTGTGCCTGCCTCGAGTGTAGTTTGTTTGGAGTTGCCGTTGCGAAAGTCAACACGATGCGCGACTTTAGGTCTAGTCGTGTCTGGCTCCTTGCTGTAGATGCCAAGTTGCTTCCAGTCTGCATCGTTCAGTTGATGCATCCTGATAACGCAAAGAGAAGGCCAAAGGAGGCATTCTCATTGCAGTTGCTCAAGCCTGTCCTGTGCACGGCAGCCATCGATGCCCCCAAAAACAAGCCAGCCTCCTCTGAGCTGTGCTAGGACTTGTCCGGGATCACCACCTCGCGTTCACTGGAGGCGATCGCTTGTGCCAACTGTGGAAACATCTACATGCCTCTTTGGTTGCAGCAAGGTGACCCAGCCCAGTCGCCCGGTTTGGTTGGCCTTCGCTCTTTCAGGTCGGATTCCAACTTCTGCCGGAAGTGTGGAAAACCGAGACCTGGTCACGATCTCCAGGCCGGACCCGGAGCTCCTCAAAAAGCAGCCCGCGCTTCTGTCCTGGTCCCTTCTTTGCTGTCTTTGCTCTTTGCCTTTCAGGCCGAGCCCGTGGCATCGGCGCAGTCGACGCTGCGCCTTTGCTGCCCTCAGAGCATCTCTGTTTGCAACGGCTCTGCTCTCGCAACGGCCAGCGCGGCTTTTCCTGTCTTTCTGGAGGATGACGCAGCCACTGCCCTTTCAGCCCTGAACTCATCTTTCAAAGCACTTCTCTTATCTGCAGCTACTGGCAGCGCCGTGTGGCTATGTGTGGCCCGTGCCTGTACTGCTCCGTCAGGCGCTAGGCAGTGGCAGTAGCGATGGCGGCAGCCCATACTCTGAGAAGCGCTCGCAAGTGCTGCGTCTCGTCGCCGGTCGCGTGTTCAAGCTTTTGCACTTGGGCATGCGGCTTTCGGCTTGATGAGACAGTCCAAAACATTGATTGTGGTGTATTTGTACAGTAGAGTCTGCTTGCATGCTGCTTTGGGTGCTTCGTGTGCATCTAGCAGCTTGCGACAAGCCGCGGTGCCTGCAGGCAGACAGATTTTCAGGGCCGGTGCGAATTGTTGCGGCTCAGTTTATGTTTCACCCTGCTAATGTCCTCAATTTCTATCCACCTCTACTGGTGGAGCCAGCGCAGGTATCGGATTGCAAGCTGCGATTCGTATAGCCTGAACTTCTGGACTCATCTGGACTTGAGAGGAGCTTGCACGACGATATCTGCGGATCCATAAATTGATCTTAGCGCCCGTGTCTGTGTGTCATCAAACCTGCTGCTACACTCCGTCTATACTGTCTGTTCCGACAAGATGTGTCAATGTACCGCTTAGGCCTTAGGTTCACATCGCAACTTCAGGAGCTTTTGGCCTTGGAGAAAATCTGCGCCAACATGTTGACATCAATGAAGGATGGATCAGCACTAACGCGAACAAGTGGCATCACCTCATCCCAAGTATCGAGGTGCGGAAGCCCCCGCTTTGCTTGCATGTGCTGCCTTGATTCTTTGCAGCTCGAAAACAGAGCACGCATGCACCAATAGCCAACTAGAAAAAAGATCAATGTGAGTCCCCGAGCATGTGTCATTCATCATGATCGGCGCGGAGTGGCACTTCGCTCCTTTGCGACGGGTCAGACTCAGCGCAGTCCTTTACCCCCAGCCCAGCCTTCCGTTCACAGAGCAGGAAGAGAGAAGAGATGAGAAGAGAGCAGACACAGCTTTGAGAGCAGAGAGAGCAAAGCAGAGAGCCCTGCCGTGTGGCCATGACCCTGGAATCCGGGCCATCGACACAAAGCCCAGAGAGCTCCAGAGAGCCCACACCAAGGCTTCCCCCTGCGCTTCTTCGTCACTTCGCAGAGTCTTCAGTCTTTCCCCTTTTGGGTCAGGCTTGTGAAAGTCGAACCAGCTACCAAAGATGAGGTGGAGCACTTAGTGGCGGTCGAGTCGTAGTGGCCGTGATCGTCTGGTCCTAGGCCGCCAAGACCGCTTCCAGATGTACTTGTACCTGTCGGACGAGTTAATGTAGTCAATGTAGTCATCGTAGTTCCAAGGCGATGCTTCAGCTGTTGGCAGCGTAGGTGTCTGTCGCTTTGTAAGCAGTCCGGGCCAACAATTTTTCCCGCTGTGCCACGCATCTACGAGCTTCCGGACTTGGTTTCCTCGCCCGGCCTACGCTTGATTGCAGAGAGTGTTCATCCTGCTACAGTTGCAAGGCCAATAGCATTCCGGTCTGTAACGAAGGTGACCATGTTCTTGCATCAGTAAACAACCGCACCCCGCGCCTCGTATTCCAATCAATCGCTTCGATGCCACATGATGCCACCACCCGCGACAGATGGACCCTGGTCTGTAAGAAGTCCTGAGTATTCTGCCGCTGTTGTGGTGCAAGGTGGAGAACTTCATCTCCGCCAACAGCACATCGGGCATGTTTCCTCAGTTGGGCCGTGTTGGTTGGTACAGCTTCGCATGATGACGATGGCACCAGTGTGAGGATGGGGTGAGAATCGTAAGCACGAGTCTGATAGTGATGAGTCGTCTGCATTCACACTTCACTCATGTGACAGATCGATGGATTGAAGACAGCGCAGCTGTGGAGCTCCGGAACATGCCGCCTGAGGTCCCTAGATTAAGCCTCCAGTTTGTTTGTTCTCCATCGAGAACTTGATGGCATGCAGTGTTCCTGCCGGAGGACCAGCGACGAGTCATCAACGGTGGCACGCTAGTCGTCGCCTGATTTCAGGCTTTGGCAATGTTGCCTGTCTCTGCAGTCGGCGGTGGGCGATGACTCAGGTGAGCTGCCGTGATGCAGTTGGCGTGATGAGGTCACGGGTTCGGCAGGCGGCCCTGTTGTAATTTTGTTGAGTGCAATTCGCGACTGTTGCGTGATGCAGAGACGTAGATCTCTTGACGTCTGTCGGTGGTTCTTGGCAGGGGTTGTCTGTGGGAGTGGCATGTCGTTTCTTTCGCACAGTCTCGGTGTTAAGTGGTCTGTCCGCTGTGAGGCCAAAGAAAAAGAGGCGATTCTGTCAGCTTTAGCCTGAGAAGGATCCAGGCTGCAAATCCATGTTGCACCGACGCAGACTTACGTGGTTTTCTCAGGGGGCTCACCTGGCTGAGAACGCAGCCGTCAAAGCCCAAGCATGTCTGTGGGCCTTCTGCGGTGAGCAGGCTCCTCTCTTGGCTCTGCTTCGTTTTTCGGCAGTTGCCGAGGGTACTTATTTGGTCGAGGTAATTGTGACAATATGTACCCATGTAACCCTGGCAGAAGCACTTGGTAGGCGGACGACGGAGTCACTGAGTCAAACTGTGGGGGGCGTCCTGCGAGATAAGCCCAGCAACAGAGCATGTGTTCCTACATGACCAGTCACAAGCAGCATGTTACTATCAGCGACAAACCGACCACGGGGGACGTCGAAGCATCGAGAGACCGGCGAGTCCCAGCACCATCCAGGCAGTATCCGACCCCAAGATAGTCAGAGAGGCAACCCTAGCCTTCGAGCAGCTGCGGGGAGAGTGACGCGAAGTGGCCACGAGGACGGAACGAGGGAGAGAACCGATTGCATCGCCAGCAGCCAAAACTTGAGCGAACGATTCTTCTGAAGCTCTAAACTTTTTGCACGAAGCAAATTGGGGCATGCCAAACCTCAACGATGAGGCTGTAAAGTAGCTTGATCGAGGACTTGTTTGAGCAGTGGCTTCCTCTTCTCCTCCTGTCGGCGGCATCTCTCTCCTGAGTATCTGATCTTTGCTCATGCGGCAGCGTCCGTCCGATCAGTCTGCATACTAGCGACGCTGGGAGGTTGTGTTTTAAAGTGTTTGAGCGCATCTGTTTCGTGTTTCCGGCAATCTTTTTGCGGTGCTTATGGTGTCCAAGCCTGTGCATGTGCAGCCAGGGGCAGTCAGCACCAATGTCGCGAGCGCAGAAAGTTCTTCTCGCGGTCACTGCCAAGGCCTCGTCCGGACGGCTCTCAAGGCCTGCCAGCAAAGATGAGGTCGAGGCACGCATGGCACTGTTCTCTTTGCATGCGAAGACTGGATCTCCTTCAGGCTTTCATAGCTTCAAATCGAAGATGGATGACTCCAGAGGCAGTGCCCGGTAGTTCCTAGTAATAGCGCCGTAGCTCCAGGCAAGGCTGGAGTTCAACAAGTTGGCTCAGCGAAGTCTTGCGACGCTGCCAGTCGGAAGAGATCCTGAAGTTGATGAATCCGCATGATCAGAAGCGGGTCATCTCTGCTGGGACCCTCCCTGTCAAGTTGTACTGTTTTGGATAGCGGAGGTGAGTGCAAACAATGAGGTTTTTGACCCGCGTATGCTGAGGACTCTGTCTGGCTGTCGGGATCCTGTTGCTGTGCTGCAGACCCGGGCAAAGAGGGCTAGAGAAATGGAGGCTGAGCCTGTGATCACCCGGTGGCTTTGCAGCGTTGGCCTGCCTTCCGGCTGAGCTTGTCAGATTGAGTTCGAGCTGATTGCCAGCGGCAAGAAGGTCGAACCACCAAAGGCACAGATAAACGAGAGCTCGGCTGTGCTTCACAATGTACAACACTTCTGCATATGCGCAGCCGGCGGCGGAGACCATGCCGATGCCAGTCTTCTCCGCGGAGGCGGCGCACGCCTTCATCCATGCAGCCCCACAGGCAAAGGATGTATGTCGCAGCAATGCGCTCAGCAGTCACAGAAGTCGCTTGCAGGAAGTGCGGTCAGAGAATTCTCGTTTCGCACCGCCGCCGGAAACGGATCCGGACAGCTTTGTCACGGAAGAGCTCGAAGGTCCGTTGACCTCGGAGGTCGGTGGCTGCAGCAGTGTCCCTGCGCAGTCCGTGATAACACCGCGGAAGGTGAAGGGCATTGGCGGTGTCATCGAAATGTTGCGTGCCATTGGCATGGCTGCGTGTGTTGTTTTTCCGTCACTTTCTATCTCTCCTGGCCTTCTGCCCGACCGACCGTGGCCACGGGAAGGCGCCAAGTATGGCTGCTCGAAAGGACAGCGATTGCGAGTCATAGGCCTGCTGGAGATGTCACTGTAGAAGAGTTTCAATCAACATAAAGCTGTATTTTCCGTGGATAGAAGCTGAAACGAGGGCATGCAGAACACCATTAAGGGCAGGAGGGAAGCCAGAAACAACACGGACCACGGAGGAAGCACATTGAGGGCAGGGCGATCCCATGCTCTGCCCAAAATCTTTTTACCTGGTCAAGAAGGCGACAAGAAGCGGCCGGCACAAAGGGAATCCTCGACCTCTCGCCTCTGTTTGGAGGGGCCAAGGCTGCCAAAGCACAAGCGGTGAGGCGTTGAACCACTGGAAAGAGTGTTTGCAAAGGAAGCTTGAGGGACACTCGGCCACCCCCCCCCGGAGCCCGTTTCTACATCAGGTCCGACCACAACCTGGGAGCACGTCAAATTTTTGGGCAAATGAAAGTCGCTGGCCCTCGGAGACAACAAGCAAGAGAAGGGCAAACGGAAGTCCGGGATCACGAACCTGACCCCATGGAAATACCGGAGAAGCACCTGCTTGTTCAAGAAGATTATTCATCTATGTATCTAATCTTCCAAACTACTACTAATGGAGGGCTTGTAGTGTAGTGCACGTGTGCACGTAGTGACATGTACGAGCGAAACAGCTGACGTCTGCAGCTGTTCCGCTCGAAGTTCGAAAGCTTTTCAGGTTAGCCTCGCTCGCGCCGCCATGTCTTCCTCGAGCACGCCCGCCTCGAGTTCCGTCGTGGCCGGTGGACTAAGCAGCGTGGAGCAGTTTCGGAACGCCATGCAGATCTTCGAGACGCTCCCGCAGTTGACCGACGACGACCTGCGCGTCTTGCTCCGCAGCATCGGCGCCACAGAGATCTTGCGTGTCCTGCATGGGCATCGGACACGACCTGCTGATGACGCTCGACGGGCATTACGCGGCCAGGATCGCGGCCCGGATCGCGGCCCGTAACCAAGCGCTGGTGTTGGCGAAGCAGTCTCTGACCTCGGCCGGCGCAGCGCCCTTGGTGACACCGGTTCCTCTCCTCAAAAGCAAGGGCAAGGGTGCCGCTCCGCCAGTGAAGGCTATGCCGACTTCGCCGTCGACCCCGCCGACGTCGTCTACTACCAGCACGCCGGCTACTTCGCCTTCGCCCGCTTCGCCGCCCGAAGAAAGGGACTGCCCCGCAGCCGGTCACAGCCGTGACCAAGGCCAAGGACGCATGTCCACCGAAGAAGGCCACCGGAGCGCCACCGACCTCAGGCGCAAAGGCTTCTGCCGCCTCGCCCTCGCAGCCGAAGCCTGGCAAGGTGACGCAGAAGAAGCCTCCTGCCGTTCCGGGCTACCACGCCACGCTCCTGGCTGAGGTCTTCACACGGAGCCCTACGTGGACACCATGCATCCCTCAGCACCTCGAGCTGATGGCGCAGCCAAAGAAGACGACAGCAGAGCCCGAGGCACCCATGCCACCGCCTCGCTCGCCGCCTCCCGAGGTGTTCTTCGACGCGCTGGTTCCTGACTTGGAGGACTTTGTGACGGCGGTTGCCTTGCAGCCAGTTCTGGGGTCCGACACCGAGGAGGCCGCGCTTCTTGAGGACGATGATGGGGAGGACGGCGCCCCGCCAGGCGACGACAACACGGTGTTGTGCACCGCTCCCGCTCGCCCCGCTGATGATGACCAGAGAGCAGGCCCGCCTCGGCCGGCGCCGGGCACGCGAGGAAAGGCTCCGCTTGTGGGATGGTGGCCGCTCCGAGCAAGTACGCCGACCACCATGTGGAGGGCTGGCGCAACTGAGGTTGCGAGACGCGGAAGGAGGACCGCACGCCCGTGTGTCAGGGGCATTCGACCGGTGATCCGGACAAGGACAGGTACGTCCCATGGTCACCACTTCTGTGGCCCTTGCGATCGCGCTCGCACAGCAAATCGGCGCTGACGCGTGGTGCTACATTCTTTTTTAGGCAGCCGGCGGTCGTGTATCGATCACCGCCTCGCCTCGCACTTCTGCGCCCGCCTCGCGCCGACCGGAAAAGAAAGGGGTCCGAGGTTTCGCGACGAGCCCGCTCCCCCGCCTTAACCACAGGAGTGAGTGAGTGCTGCTTCTCCCCTTCGGCATTGGGTCTCTTCTCGCTCTGACTCTCTTCCTCGCCGGAGCCAAGCTGCCAGGAGTGCCTCCTCTCGCACATTAGGATCTCTTTCTCGCTCTGCCTCTCTTCCTCGAGTGACTGCAAGGGCATGTGCGTTCATGTACACTTGGCTGTGTTTCTGTTGCTTGCTCCTTGCGGCATGTCACATGTTCTGTCGCGCCTCGCTCGCCTCGTCGCTCGCTCGTGGGTTGGGTCCTCTCTTGGTTCCCGCCCGCCCGTGGGTGCCCACACCCACTTCGGGGCTGGTCGCTTCGCCTCTTTCTCGCCCCAGCCCGACCCCCCCTCACTTTGTACCTGTCAGGTCACACGCTGACTTGCACGAGAGCCAAGCTGCCCGCGGAACGCAGCCGTTCCCTTCCAGGCAGGTTGTCACAGTGTTCAGGGTCTTGCTCGCACGCACGCGCGCTACGCCATGTCGGCTTTTGACTATACCACTCTGCAAGCCGCCGTCTCGGCCGGGCTGGCCCCGCACGCGATCGATAAGATGAGTGAGCTGGGCTTCGAGAGCATACATGACGCAGCGCTACGCGCACACACCGTGGACCACCGCCTCGCCAGCGAGATAGAGGTCATGTTGTGGTCATCGGCTACAAAGCACACGTGGAGGCAAGCAGCAGAATATAGCTCCGCCGCGGGGCCCGGCGCCACGCTTCGATCAGCCAACAGAGCCCGCACTTCTTCCGGGGGAATCTTGAGCAAAGCCCTGGCTGCGGCGGACCCACTTCATGCCGAGGAGGCTCTTCGCGAAGTTCGGGACAATGTATACGCTCGCTCCGCTTGGGGGCCCAACGATGCCCGAAAGACGACCTGGTGCAAGATTTGCGAAGCTAGGAAAATCAGTCCGGTGCCTTTGACCACGGACACCATCGAGAAGGTCGGCACCAGTTTCCGGAAAGGCGGTTAGCGGAGCTCGGCGCAATACTTCTCCCGAGCCCGCAAGGAACACATACAGGTCACGGGCCAGGCCGTGCCCACGCCTGTCGAGCTGGCGATCCGCGACGCCATTCGCTCCATCGAGCGAGGCATGGATACCGCGGCGCCTTTCGCCTGGACTCGCTCGACATCAGCATCGACTTTTGCTCGAGGGCTCCCTGCAGTTCCACCGCGCCATGGTGGTCCTGGGCTCTTTTGGTTCCTCTGCCGCGAGATCGAGCTCTCCGCGCTCCGAGTGAAACACAGGGTGCTCGACTCGGAGAGGAAACAAGTGTGCCTCACTTTGTCGGCCAGCAAGAACGACCGTTGGCTCCGTCGTTCAGCGCCGCCACTCTTGCTACCACGCGGCGCCCATGACCAAGGCGCAGACGATCGAGGCCATCCACGCGGTGTTGGGAGTGGCAAATCGACGTGCCGCTGACCAGAGCCGGCGCCCCTCTCGGACCTCCCGTGAACCGTTTCGGGGGACACTGTCTCCGCGTCTCCGGGGCGCAACACTTGTGCAGAATGAGAGTACCGGTGAGCACGATCATGTTGATCGGCCGGCCTCTGCAGAGTCTTGGACCTAGCGGCGAGCCTGCGCCCGCCCTTGTTGGGTCCAGGACCTGGCGAGTACGACGACTTCGACCTGTCCTACTTGCACGACCCGAGCATTGGCAACTCTCCCGGCAGATGCCCCATCCCGATCATCGCGACGCATACACGGAACCTGGACTACAACAGTGGATCCAGATTTGGACCCGAATGCGCCCGCATTTGGTGGAGCTTCGCCTCGCGCTGTTCGAGCAAGTGGAAGAACTCGTGCAGGACATGAGAGGGCCGAGACCGAATCGTGGTACCGCAGTCTCCGCCCTCATGTACAGACGGCGTACAGCAGCAAGACAACAGTATATGCACCTTCAACTTCCCACGCTTCGCAAAGTTTTTGCAAGCTTGTCGGCTGGCGGGACGACTCCATCTTTGACGAGCTCGCCGACGGTTTTCGCGTGCTGGGACCGCTCGCCCCAGGATGGGCTGGAAGCGCAGGAACGACGACCGCTACGCCCGCCCGCTCGGCATGCAGGAGTTCCTCGAATGATCTCATCGACAAGCTTCGCAGGTGTCGAGTCGATCCTTGCTGGAAACAGATGGCCGATGAGGTGGCCGCCGACATCGAGTTGTGGGGAGGATGGAAGGTCCATTCTCGAGTCCACCGGAGTGGCCCAAGACAGCCGTTCCCCTCGCATCGCACGAGCACACGAGCAAGCTCCTGGACGGGCCGACCGAGCACTGCCCGACATGCTTCGCCTCCGCCGTGCACCAGGTGGGGTCCGACGGCAAGCCCAAGGTTTGTCGTGCCGAAGATTGGAGACGATCCTTCGCTAACGCCACGGTGGCGACTCGCCGCCGTACCACGACGTGTCATCCTGCGTTTAGCTGATCAGGGCGATCAAGAAGGTGGGCCCCTTCGCCGAGATTCTCATCTGGGGACTCGACCACGAGTCGGCCTACAGACAACTTCCAGCGCTCGACCCGTCACACACCTACGTAGTGCTCGCGACGCCCGAAGGAGTTACCCTTTGGCATCACACGGTCCTATGTTTGGGTCGGTGGCCAGCGTGTGGTCGTATTGCAGAATAGCAGACCTCATGGGGTGGTTATGCTGCACGTGCGTATTCACGCCGGCACTACATTTCGTCGATGACTTCGGCAGCGCAGAGGTCACCACGCTCGCGGACTCTTCCTTCGACGCCTCGAGACGCCTCTGCAAAGCTTTGGGTTTTTCTGATTTTCTTTTAAGAAGTCCAAGGAACAGCCGCCGGCCACGCAGCAGACCATCCAAGGTGTCAGCATCGTCACCTCCAAGGACTCCGTGACAGTGCAAGGGACCGCAGACAGCGACCGGACGAGGCGCTCGCCGACGTCCTCACACAGGACAAGCTGAGGCCACACGAGGCAGCCAGTTTGGCCGGCAAGCTGCAGTTCTACTGCCAGTCGCTTCGTGGCCACTCACACGCTGCTGCGTTGAGGCCTTTGTTTCGCAGAGCCCGATTGACAGGAGCAGGCAAGAACCACCACGACTGGAGGCTGGACAACCAGCTGCGCCACGGCATCGGCCTCTTACGATGAAGCCTTCGCCACGCACCGCCGAAGGTCTTCCCTTTCGAGACAGAGGCGCACTCCGTGCTCTACGCCGACGCCTTCTTCAACCTCTTCGACAAGGACTGGAAACCCTCCGACCAGGACATACCGAACTGGGGCCGCACATCGACGGAGACGCTTCGCAACGGCTGGGGTTGCGTCGTCACAGTGGCTGGTACGACCTTCTTCCTTCTTCGCACACGGACTTGTGCCAACCTGGTTCGTGCGAGCATTTACCAGCCGCAGAGCCTACATCTACATGTTAGAGATTGTAGCGCAACTTCTGCCGCTCTTCGCCTTGCAGGACCAGCTGGACAGGCACATCATCCTCTTCGTGGACAACGAACCGGCTCGCCACGCTCTTACACGCGGCTTCGGCAAGGACGAGTCGATCAACTGCTTGCTTCACCACGCTTGGCGCTTCCTGGAGAAACAGTGCTTCCGGCCGGCTTGGCAGCGAGTGACCTCTTCCGCCAACGTCAGTGATTCAGTCAGCCGCGGTGACCTTCGCCACGC